CTATGCATGTTTTCTGCTCAAGAACTACAAAAGATAAGGATAAAGCACCAAGTCCTTTAAACCAAATGTATGATGTATCTACACAACACCCCCAACGCCTGCAATATGTACACAACCCATCTTTTTGAGAGGTTGAATGTGGCCATCTCTGCTGAGCCTATGTTAGGCAGTTACTTCCTGGCTTGCGTGATTCCTTGAGCAGAGGGAGAGGTTTGCCTCTTTCTATGCAAGCGCCATCTCCTCAGTACCTGTAGCAGGAGGTCTCAATGGGGCTCTAGGACAAGGCTGTGTGCAGGTGAGCATAGGTCCACCTGGCAGCCTTAGGGTTCAAGAAAGTTCTTCAGAGAAGTTGGGATTCCCAGCCTCTGCCTTTTGCTCTGATCCCTGCCCTTGGGGTCTCGGTTTCCATGTGCTGATACCCCAGGGGGTATGCATGGCCTTCTTCATTCAGTTCTTGCTCACCAACTCTCCATGCCTTCTGGGGACAGCAGGGTTCTCTGCTTCCTCCACTGTCTCTTCCCCTAATTGTGAGTTTCATTTTTCCAGAGCCTGGTTCGAGTTTCCTTGTGAATGTGCTTGACTAGAGATGACCCTTCTCTCTCTCTCTGGAACTCCTAGGCAGTTCTTTGCATTTCAGAAGGTCCTGCCTTCCTCCTGTCTCTTTGTGGTGTCTGTCTCCAAGAACTGGAGATGGCTAGGTCTTGGGTGGAGATGTTCTGTGATCTAGAGCCCCACGGTGAAGCACACTGACAGGGCAATCATCTCGACCCAAGGCTGAGTATGTGTTCTGGGGCACCTTCTGCCGTCTCCTGTGTCACTTAAGAGAGTTGGCATTCATAGATAAGATAAGTGCCATTCCTACTTTGTCTCTTGTGCTTTACCTGCCAGTTTTTCTTTTGGAGGTTTCGTCCATTTCTTGTTTGATTGTCACGAGTTCTTTGCATACACAAGGAATATAATACGAGTAGCTGGTGTGCACATCGCGAGCATTGTTCTCAGCTTGTCCTTTGACTTATGATTTTGTTTTGGGTGTCTGTTAACACACAAAACATACATTGACATCACTGTTATTGAGAAGAGATTGTGTAACCTTTAAGAAATAGGTTTTTAGGAGTTTGTACAGGTTCGGGGCCATACATACATTTTCTAGCCAAATTTACTAGAACTAGAAAATAATGGCAATTTTCTTGAGAGACTTACTGAGGTTATACTGTGGTCTAGTTTATGATCTTTTTGTAAATCCATGAGCATTCGAACAGAAATTTCACTCTCCCTAATAAATACATTATTATTTACATCATATTATATGTGTTTATAATTATAGGCATTAATTATAAATATCGAGCATATAAGACTATGTAAGATATATGCTAGATATCTTTGCTTTTTCTACTTGATCAGAGGCTAAGACATGGTTTAAAGCCTTCAAATACTATTTTTTCCCCCATTATTTTTCCATTTTAATAGGAGTTGTCATGTATCTTTTTTCAATGATAATTTTAGTCCACTTAGAGGTTTCTATTTTTCTTTTTGGTTAACATTCTACTTTGAGGCATTCACATGATTTCTGCAACAACTGTTTTCTGTTTATTTGCATTTTCTTATTATGTCTTTGTTCAGCTTGTTATTTTTAAGGTTACTGAGTCATTCTGTTTTAGGTGTTTATCTTATAGCATACAATTAGACTTTGATTATTTAGACAGTCTGGGAGCTTTTCTCTGTTTTAACCCATTTATATTTATTGTCAAAACAAATATTTTTCTTCTGTCATTTTCATTACCAAGTTTGACTACTTTCAAGCCTTGCTTTAAATGCATTTCCTTTATATGTTCTATTTTCTTCCAACTTTTTAATGAACGTTTGCTTTTGGTTTCCCATTAATTTTGAAAAAGGAAACTACACTTGCTCATGTGTAAAAAGGCCTTGTGTCGATTCACCCTTGTGCAGAATGAGGTGGCTGTGGCCCTTACGTTTTTGCAAGCTTCCTCCTCTCCTGCACAATTTTGTTGGCTCCTTCTCTCTGAAGGACCCTGCTCTCCTGGGGAACACTCTTTGTGAGGCATAGGCATGCTTGTGCAGCTGTTGTGTTTTGTGTGACTTTTTCCCCCAGTCACTTCACGTAATTCCCAGGTAGCCACCTGCTGCTTTATAGATAGGTCTTACCTCCTGGGGACACTGCCTCTTTGCAATGTTACAACCTTCTCCACAAGTTTTCTGCTCCCTGCTGGAGCTCCAGGTTCCACCAAGGACACAGTGTTGAATCCACTGGCCTGGACCATGTGGTCCACAAAAACATTCTACAGGGAGCTTTTTTGGTGGGTCTGTCCCCACCTGACAGTCCATCCACAGGCTTGAAGGGAGGACTAAAAGACAGGAGGGAGAGGCTCCGTTTGGGAAGCTGCCTTGGTGACAGAGATGAGAAAACATGGCAGGTTGTGCCAGAGCAGGGGCACTGAGGTCTGACTTGATGGATAAAAGGTTACTTCCTGTGGTCCATTCTGAGAGCAGAGATGGAAGGAGAGGGACAGATTTGAGAAATGCCAATAATGTTAAATCAGAAAGAAACTGAGGTGGGGGATGAGGCAGAAGGAGAAGCCCAGATCCCCAGTTTACTCAAGCCGGGAGGGTCATAGTGCCACCTGCCAAGTTTTGTATTTCAGGAAGAATGGCCCACCAGGCAATTCTGGAAAAGTTTTGAGAGGGTGCTTCTAGATCTGATGCACAAGAGTTGCATTTGAGGCATCAATGTGATATCGAGGTGGAAAGACAAACTCGTGAGCTGGATGAGTGAGATTGATGTTCAGGTGGAAGGTCTAGAGTACAGAGATGCCCCTGAGGTCATCAGTGGATGGCAGTGGTTGAAGGTATATCCAGGACATAGAGAAACAGAGGAGGCCACTCATGATTGAATAGTCCCAGATGTATGGGAGAAACCATGAGAGTGAGTGTCCCCTGAGCCTAACGAGTAGAAAGATCCAGAAAGGGAGAACTCTGACAATTGTAGAAGAATTTTCAAGTAGTAATAGCAGTCTTAATAGACATTTAGTGAGAACATGCCGTTGTTCTAAGTTGGGTGTTAATTCCTGTAATTGAAAAAAATTACCCAATGACGCAGACACCATAATTACAGAAGCAGAAGCTGAAGCCCAGAGCAGGAAGGTCCCTTGCCCAAGGTCACACATTGGTAAGTGGCCCAGCCAGGACAACCACCTAGGCGTTCTGATTCCAAGCTCAAGTATTCCACCGTCTTCTTTCTTAAAGTAAGATGATGACTGGAAACAATACCTACTGGATTTAGCAATTAGGAGATTATTAGTACTTATCATGAAAATAGTTTGGGGGGGTGTGTTGGAGACAGAATCCAGATTATGTAGCAGGTTCAAGTTTTTCTGTGGGAAGAAGGAAGTGTTGGGAGTGACTGGTGGTTGAAACAATTGGGAAGTGTTATTTGACTGGTGATAGAGAATAACCTACCAAACAAGGCAGGTCGTTTTTTAAGAATAGGAGTTGTCTAAGAATGTATATATGTCAAGGTCAGGGACAGAAGGGAGGGTTTGGGGATGTAGGATAGAGCAGGATAGAGAGATAACCAAGAAATACCAAGAAGCTGGAACAGGCAGAGGGAGTCAGGGGTCAAGAGCCTTGGCGTTCCTTGCAGAGATGAGATTGGAGTTGGTGGGCATGAAGATTAGGTGTGTGGGTGAGAAGTGAGATGTCAGCCCCTCCCCATCCTCTTGCCTCTTGAAGATGGCATGTCTGCTGGGGTTGGATGGGTAGATGCTGAGAGAGGAACGTTTGTGAGATTGGGGAGTAGGGAAGACAGACTTGTGATGGCTTGGCAAAGTTCAAATAAAGGTTCAGAGGAATTGGAACTTAAGGAGAGAATTATATGGATGATTAGCCAACATACTGGGGGCAACCCGGACTTGCTGAGAACGAAGAAAGCTCCAGATGAATTATAGACTCTGGAAAAGTAAGAGGTCCAGGTACCTTATGAGCCTGAGGAGTAGGATGAAGAGCAGCGAGCTGGGAGAGGACTGTGGGGCAGGAGATCATCCCAAGTTCTGCAGGGGAGTGCCGCTGAGTTGGATTGGAGCAAAAGGCCATCAGAACTTGGGAGGCTGATGGCCGTGTTGCCCACTCAGGTATTCATGTGGCTTTAGCAAAGATAGAGTTTCCATGGTGAAGGAAGCTGTGAACTGAATTTAAAAAAATATATATATGGATCTTAACAGTTCAGGTGGGAGTCAGAGGGGAGAATTCCAAGAATTTGTTGCCTCTACTTTTGGAAATCAAGATGCAGTTTGCTGCTTATTTTATTTTTATTTTATTTTCTTTTGAGAGAGAGAGAGAGAGAGAGAGAGAGAGAGAGAGAGAATATGAATCTTTTTTGTAGATGGACACAACACCATGCCTTTATTTTTAAGTGGTGCTGAGAATCGAACCCGGGTCCCACCCGTGCTAGGCCAGTGCTCTACCGCTGAGCCACAATCCCAGCTCCTGCTGCTTATTTTTAAAAGGTGTTCTTAAGAAGTCATCTGGATCCTATATTCATTGGGAATATAGGATCAAATCAGGCTAAACCTCATTGGCTTATGCTAGCTTCCAAGTAGGCATTTTCCCTCACTCTGCATGAGGTGGTTGGGGTATTAGGAAGTAGTTCTTCCCTGTGCTTCATGGGAAAACCAGAATGGGAAAGGTGCAGAGTGGGCTGTCCATTCCATGTTTGGCTTTTCCTGCATCTAAGTGTCATTTCTGAAATCCATTAAAAACGTTCCATGTGGCTGACTTCCTTTGCTATTCACCAGAGTGTGGCCTTTCTGCCTTGTTTTGAAAATCTGAGTTGGCAACCAGGGTGGCGTGCGGTCCTACAGGGAGGTCTCTTAGGTCGGTTCTGATGGGAGGCTGAAGCATGAAGGGATTGGGGGCTGGGAAGCTTCCTAAGATGAATGTCTACGACGGCTTCTGCAAAATTGACTCCCGCCCTGTGTGTGTTGCAGGTGATATTTGAATCCGTCTCTTTGAAGGGTCATCCTGGCTACATCGCTGTGGACGAAGTCCGGGTCCTGGCTCATCCATGCAGTAAGTCCGTCTCCTTCTCTCTGCACAGCCCTGCTGCAGCCACACTGGGTAGCTCAGAGGATGCGACTTTCTCTATTCATTCAGCTCACAAACATCTCTCAGTCTCTCTCTCTCTCTCTCTCTCTCTCTTTCTCTCTTAATCCTTCAAAAAATGCTTACATACCCAATGCAATCAGTCCTGAATAAATCCATAATTTTGCCGGCCTGTTCAACAGGCAGCACCTCCAGGAATTTGCAGAGAGTGGCAAAACGTCCTCGTTTGAATCTCTCTCTCCATTATTAAGGGAGTCTAAAGTCCTGATTGTTTATTAGTGGGATTCAGTCCACTGAAGTGGAAGAATTAGAGGGCTTTGGATAGAATCTTATGCAATTGTCTTAAAAAAAGAACACCACCAAAACACGGAGAAATTAGCACTGTTCACTCACAGGGAAAAGTACCCCAAAGCTATTAATTCTTTAAAAATAATTTTAAATATACTCATCAGCTCTATGTAGGCGTGGGGAGGAATTTCTTGGAGTGGTTTAGTACTTATGGCACAGAGTCAAGAGTCCCCACAGGCATCCCACTCCTCTGTACCCATCCACTTTCCCCTTGAAGTTCCCTCTGTAGTGTTTAGTCTAAGATATTTAGATGTGTTTCAGCAGGAAAATGGGGTTCCTGCTGAGTCAAAGAGGAGCCAAGTCCTTTAGCAAGTTGTGATGGTATCATATCTAGAGACATTTGTTTGTAGACTGTAATCAAAGGGATATGTAAGGGGATTATGGAACCCCCATAGTTCATTAATGCTCCATCAATGTCTTGGAAGCTCTGAGGTCTAGGTAACCCCTAGTGGGTCTCTCTCTACTCTCTCCATATGATCAAGAGTCACAGTGCTATTCCACTTTTTGTTACGATAATGGAATACCTGAGGCAGGCTAACTTTATAAAGAAAAGAGGTTATTTATTCATCTGCTGAAGGGCATCTAGGTTGATTCCACAGTTTAGCTATTGTGAATTGAGCTTCTATAAACATTGATGTGGCTGCATTGCTACAGTATGCTGATTTTAAGTCCTTTAGGTATAGACTAAGGTGTGGGATAGCTGGGTCAAATGGTGGTTCCATTCCAAGTTTCTAAGGCATCTCCATACTGCTTTCCAGATTGGCCACACCAATTTGCAGTCCTACCAGCAAGAAATGAGTGTGTCTTTTCCCCCACATCTTTGCCAAAATTTATTATTGTCTGTATTCTTGATGACTATCGTGAGATGAAATCTTAGTTTTGATTTACATTTCTCTAATTATTAGAGATGTTGTATATTTTTTCATATATTTGTTGATGAAATGTATATCTTCTTCCGAGAAATGTCAGTTCAACTCCTTAGTCCATTTATTGATTGGGTTGTTTGTTTTTTTGGTGTTAAGATTTTTTAGTTCTTTATATATCCTGGAGATTAGTGCTCCATCTGATGTGCGTGTATGGAATATTACTCAGCACTAAAAGAGAATAAAATTATGGCATTTGCAGGTAAATGGATGGAGTTGGAGAATATTATGCTAAGTGAAGTAAGGCAATCCCCCAAAACCAAAGGCCGAATATTCTCTCTGATAAGTGGATGTTGATTCATAATGGGGGGGGACATGGGGAAAATGGAGGAACTTTGATGGGGCAGAGGGGAGGGAAGGCTGGGAAAGGCATGAGGGTAGGAAAGATGGTGGAATGAGGTGGACATCATTACCCTAGGTACATGTATGATTGCACATATGGTGTGACACTACATCATGTACAACCATAGAAATCTAAAGTTGTGCTTCAGTTATGTACAATGAATCAAAATGCATTCTGCTGTCATATATACCTAATTAAAATAAATTTTTTAAAAAAGAAAAGAGGTTTATTTGGCTCACAGTTTTGGAGGTGTAAGGGCATGCTGCTGGTGTTGGCTCAGTTCTGGTGATGGCCATCTTGCTGCCAGATTCTTGATGGAGTGAAGAACATCATATGCCAAGAGACAGAGACTGCACATGTGTGTGTCTGGTCTCTGTTCCTTTTTCTTATAAAGCCACCAGGATTCAATCATAAGTGCTTCATCCTAATGCCCTTACCTAAATATAACCACTTTCCATGAGCTCCACTTGTGAACACCACAGTTGGACTCAGTTTCAACCCTCGGTGTGCCACTAACATATGGCTTTGGGGATTAAGTTCTTACATGACTTCAGGGGGATAAGCCACATTCCAGCCTCAGCAGTTATGCCCTGGGCCGTGATGTAGTTCGTCACACCTCAAGAGCTGTCATGCATGCTCTCTTTATGTCCCTTTTAGTGCTTCCATTCGGGGACTGTTCTCCTCCGAGACCCACCCGTGTTGCTGTGATTGAAATGATTCTTTGCCCATCTGCTGCAGTGAGTTTGGAAGACCTTCAACATGGCTTTCCCCCCTCTTTTTGCACTGGAATGCCGGGGACGGACTCCTTGTCTTGGAGCACCTTCTCTGGAGGAACTTGGGACAAGTTCCAAGTTCCAGACATTATTTTGGGAACCTAGGTTTGGTGTCTATGGAAAAGGGACCCTCCTCCCAAGGAATCAGCCAGCATCTCAGGGATTCTGAGTTTCCTCTAGACCCTCCATTGCCTTGGCTTAAGGTCCCTGCTCACTCTGGGTCACTCCTTGAGGTGGATGGGTCTGCCCATTCAGTCATGTCTGGGAAGTGTCTCTGCTGAACCAGGCTTCATGTGCAGAGGGTGTCAGAAATTCTTTAGCTCTTCAGGGTGTAGATAGTGGACATGAGGATAAGGGCCCATTGCCAGATTAAACATTCCCTCCCTCAACTCCTGGAAGTCTGTGTCAGATGCCCGTTGGAGAAAGACCTTTGGCCTAAGACTGGGCAACTGTATCAGGAGATGCCTGCCCTTATCTGTGACCCTTTTAACCCATACAGCCCTGCACAGTCCCCAGTTTCAGAAGGCTCCCTGAAATGTCTTCCTCAAGTCCCAGGTACATGCCTTCTAGAGGGTTTGCCTGCCTTGCACCCACCTGAGTTCCTACTTCATAGCTGGTGCTGGGTGCCTGAACTTGGCTCTTCCCTGCAGAACATGGCTGAGGTTTCTCTCCCTGCACCCCAGAACTCGGTGCTCTGGTGAGAATTTCACCTCAAGCATTGCACCCAGCCTTGACCCTGTCTCTTGCTTGTTGACAGTTAACAGCCTCAACTGTCTTCAACCCAGATTAGCTGTGCCTGAGATTCATGGTTTTCCATCACAGGCAAAAGCATCCTGTTTTTCCCTTCAAATCTCAGTGGAAAGCAGTCTCTGGAGAACATTTTGGGTGCCTTCCCACCTCCAAAATCTCACGGCTCCTCTTGGAATCCTTTTCTTATTGGGGTTGCTATGGATTTAGGGTGATCCTAAAAAAACCCCTCCTCCTCTTACTCTTCCTCCTCCTGCTCCTGCAGAGGAGTGTGGATTGCATGGTTATAGAATTGCTGAGAGCCAGTTACCCAGCAAATGGGCCATGGGATATAACTCAGGAAGACGTGACCCTGGTTTTATTCCTACGTAATAAGCTTTGGCTGAGTTCAACCTCAGTGCTTAGGCGGCTTAAGCACACACTTCCAGAAACCACAATGTGAGGGCCCTGTAAGAGTGGGTAGGCTCAGAAACATTCCATGTAACTGCATGTCTAGATACTGGCAGGGTGTATGGTCACCTGAGGAGCACCCACACCCCATGGGTCACATGGAGTTGAGTAGTTCCCTTCTCTAGGGTGAGCCCTCAATCCTTTCTTTCAACAAGTAAATTATTGAACATGAGCTATGTGTTCAAGAACATTTCTTACTCTCTGGGTAAGAAAGATTAGGTCCTTGTCCTCCTGGTATTGATTAGCAGGAGAGCCAGTGGGGGAGTAGGTACTAAATACAAAATTAATATTAAATAAGTACTAAATGATTTCAGATAGTGATAACTGCTGGGAGTGTAATAAATACACATGGCTGGGGCAAGAGGGCTTCTTAGGTAGAGTGGTCAGGGGAGGTGTCTTTGAAGATGTGAATCATAGGAAGGAGTTCACCCAGAGCCTTTGGCATCATTGTGAGCAGTTTGGATATTAAATGCAGGGAGGTGATGTTAGAGGGGGTTCTGCTGGGAATTAGCATGACCTTAGTTTATTGTTAAAGGAGAACTTGAGCTCTGTGGAGAATGAGTTGAAGGGCCAGAGAGAAGGTGAGGAGACCTATGAGGGAGAACATTCTGGAGCAAGAGGAGTGGTGGCCTGGATCAGGGAGGTAAAGAGTCAACCATTCATCAGCCAACAGGTGTTTGCTGAGCATGTGCCCAACTCCAGGCATTATTCTGGGTTTATGGAAATGTAAGACTGATTCATTCTTTGTCCTCATGGGCTTCCATCAAAGTGAAAGAGACTGAAAATATAACACATAATGAGGTGATTCTATGATATACAACAGATGGCACGTTGCTTTGCTAGGACTGCCAATAGCCCAGACTGGGTGGCTTCAGCCACTGAAGTGTATATTCTTATGGTTTGCAAGGCTAGGAGTCCAAGGTCAGGATGTTGACAAGATTGGTTTTTCCCAAGACTTCTCTTCTGGGCTTGTAGATGTTCATATTCTCACTGTGTCCTCACATGGACTTTCCTTGGGTGCAGGTCCTTGGTGGCTCTGGGTGTCCAAATTGCCTCTTCTTTAAGGACACTATTTAGATTATATTAGGGTCCACAAAGTGGCCTCATTTTAATTTATTCACTTCTTTTAGGGCCTTTGTTCCCCAAATACAGTCACACTGTGAAGGGCTAGGGACTAGGGCTTCGACGTACGAATTTGTGATGTAGGAATTGTGGGGACACAATTTGGCCCATAACCAATGGCAAAGAGTTTTGTGAAGAAACGTGGAACATGGAGATGGAAAGATTAGAGACGTATCCAGATTAGAGATGTATTCAGGCACTACAGATTAGGAGACAGAAGCATCAAAAATGTCTACTCGCAGATTTCTGGGTTAAGCAAGGTGGTGCAGGTTTGGGGAGAACAGAGCCTGTGCCTGGCCTGCAGAGGTGCTGACCGTGGGCCTGTGGGGTGTACATGAGAGAGCAGGTCATGCAACCTTCTAGTAACTTCTGAAAGGTCCTTGAGACTGAAAGTACTTTCCCAGCCCCCAGCCTTAGAATCAATGTGTTGATGACTTGACTTATAGATTATTGAAAATTTAAGTCTATTGAAAAACAGGGGCACTCCCTTTATGTCCTCAAGCTTTTTGGTTCTCCACTTCTGTCTTTCAAGAGCTGTCCTGGATTAATATAGGACCAGAGTCTATCAATAAGTGATTCCACTAATTATTCCAAAAGTTAGTGCCTGCCTTGTGGCTCTGTCCTGCATCAAGGGGGGCTGAAGTTTGTGACCTTAAACACTCGCCTTGAAGCTTCCAAAACAATGACCAAAAGCCAGGCGTGATACTCAAAGGAAATTATTTTCTCTTACAACCTGAAATGTCTTGTCTCTATTTTATAGTCTTTTTTTTTTTTTTTTTGTTATTCCAGAAGTCCAGACGTATTTCAGCTGTAGTTACCGTCCGTCTGCCGCCGTTTCTGAGTGTTAGCCATTAGCAGGGCCGCGGCAGTTATAACGGCGTACAATAAATGTCAGCGTGATTTTCCACTCGGTTGCAAAGTTTCTAACTCCTAAGTTGACTTTTAGAATTTTTTAAACCTACTTTTTTTTTTCCCCGTCACAACCTTGCAGGGCCGTGTGGCCGAGCCCACAGAGCATCTGCAGCATGTTCCTAATGTAGGTACTGAGCTTTCTCTTCAGTTGTGTGGCTTCCCACTGAGCACTGTCAGGTTTAAAGAGCGAGATAAAGGGCACAATCATATGTCTTCAGATGCTGCACTGACATCTGCAGGAGTTTAAATGTCACCAACATGGAGACCTTTTTTTGCCCCCAATGCACAGCTCATTTTCTCCTAACCCCATTCAGCGGGAACCCATTTTGCGGGACCTGAGTCTCCCTGGGGAGTAAGAGTGAGAGCTGACTTGGGGACTGAGGTCAGCGGTGTCTGACAGAAGGCTGCTGAGTGGAACTGGGAGAATAATTTCTCTCCCAAAGCTGCAGTGGCTCGGGGAAGTCATGATGGAAAGACTGACTGAAGAGGTGATGGAGTCGGGGGGATGGAAGAAAGAGGGTCACAGAGGCTGGAGCCCACAGAAGGGGACCAAACTGCTTCCCCACATAAAGAGGATCTCCAGAGAGGGAGATCTGTCACCAGCCAAGGCTGAGCCATGGCCTCCAAGAGCAGAGGCAAGAGGAGGACCTTTGGAGAGAATGCTGAATGAGAAGAGGGTGGTGGGGACAAGTTCCTGTGACCCAGGATCCCCCAGTGTAGTGCATGGAGGGTGCTGGTATCATCGGGTCTATGAGGCCAGACCAGGCAACACTAGCCACAGGGAAGGGTTCCAGCTAACGCACATGAGAGCAGCGTATCAGAGACTCAGACTGATAGAGCCTGCGTGCTGATGGGTTTTGCTAAGTCTGCCTGATGCTTTAATAAAATTTAGCCAACATTTTAAAATGAGAGATTTAGCATAAAACCTGGATTTCTAACTTCCCTTGAGAAGTCGAATGATAACCCTGGGCAAAGCCCTGTCATCCTCTCTCCCTCTGCTGCCCCCTGGTGGGTCACAAGGTCTCCCTCCAGTTCCCCCAGGTCCTCACCACTCCTTATCACCTTCCCAGTGTTGAGGCTGGTGTCAGATGCCAGCTAATAATTGGGCTGGTAGTGTTGTTTCTCTTTTATTGCAAAATCTTTATTTCACCCAAATTTCTATCAAAAGTGGGGAACTGAAAGACGGGGCAAGGAGGTGGTGTTTTTGTTCACGTTGATTTACAGCTGGACCACTTTATTAATTTCCTTAACTGTCTGGTTCCTGTAGGCACATGAGTTTGACAACTCTGTTGTAAATCACTAGTGCTTCCCCAGAATACTAACACCAGGGACCATGAACCATCTAAATTCTGAATCTAGAGGGGAGGGAGGAGAGGGATTCAAGATGGAAGTGTCAAGAGGAAAGGTCTGTGGCTAGAAGGGAGAAGTGGGAGGAATTGGAAACGAGGAGGGGACAGTGATCTCGAGACAATCCATCTCTAATTGCTCACATTCCAGAGCTTAACCATAGGCCCAGCATCCTGAAGAGTCAGTCAAGAGCCAGCCTCTGCAAAACCCAGCATGGAGCTTTCTCATCTTGGAACCCAGACTCTGTACACCCTCCTCCACTGGGTGGGTCTTCCCCCATCCTCCCCTGTGCTTTAAACCTGTGGCATCAACAGATTTACGTGGTGCACTCTGTTCCCACCTGAGGAGTTGACTTGAACTGATAGTTCCAAAAATAACTTTACAAAATTATACAGGAGAGCCAAAAGGAAACAATTTCAGGCAATCAAAGCAGCATGACATTTGTCAGGTTGACTAGATGCAGGGAACTTACACTCTGAAAAGTCCACCAGAAGTGTTCTTACCCAGGCCTTGGGCGGTCAATGCCACTCCAGTTGCAGGGCCCTGAAGGTGGCATGTGGGGTCTCCGAGTTGTTGTCATGAGTTTAAAATCTGGACAGAAGTGCATATTTTCTCATAGTCAGCTTGTCTGGTCACACCAAGATTCATGGCTTTTGCTGAGCTTAACAGGCAGTGACACAGATTGGTGTACAAGATAGGTCACACCATGAACCCTCAGATAAACAGAAAAAAATAAAAAAGGATCATTGCAAAATCTTTGGGAGTAACGAGAAAAGCCTGGAGAGTCAGCATGGACATGCAGGCCCTGAGGTCTGTCATTCCCAAAGCCCAGGAAGCAAGAGAACGTGCTAGGTGGAAGCCAAACGTGGGGTCAAATGGAACTGGACAGACTTCTGTCCCTGCCTCTCACTGTTGCTGTGTGGCTTTGGGAACATAACACTTGTTGGATTCTACCTCTAGCATTGGCTTCATGGGGATGCCATGGAGTTAAACTAGAAAAAACATGGTCCCTGGCCGGGTCCTGGGGGAGTTTGTATGTGACTGCCTCTGGACTGATGGCAGTGTCCCTTGTGGATCCTCCCTGATCTTGTCGGAATTCCCCACTTGGTCCCATGCTGGGGTAGGTGTGGCACAGTTCTTCTCTGACTTTGTTGTTGGTGGTTGGGATCCTTCATGGTGCTCAAGGCAGAAGCTCACTCTTGTGGTCAAAGCTTCTTGGCTGATGGAGAGCTTCTAGACGGGAGAACTTGTCTCTATAAACAAGGGGAGAGGTGAACCCATCATAGAGCACATGCTTAATCCTAGGATTGATGCCCACAGACACTCTTTTTTTGACAATGCTTTTCCTAGTCCCCAGAATCAGTGTCCCTCTTCCCATTCATGCTTAGGAGACCCCATTTCTTAGAGTTAAGAGTGTAAATTCTGGGCCCTTGTGAACCAGACCAAGTTCCTGCGTGCTTCCATTCATTCATTGTGCAGTAGAGACGGGACCACCACCACCAACTGTGTTGGTTTAATGAATCACGCTTGCATACAGCAGCTGTCCCATAGAAGCATGCAGCGAGTGACAGCCAGTGTTCTCTTCCCCCCTCTCCCTCTTCTACTCTTCATTCTCTTCAGAGTCCTGGATTTATGTTTTGGCTCCCCCACGTCCTAGATGTCTGACTGTGCTGAACCGTGTAACCCCTCCGAGACTTAGCTTTCTAATCTGTGAATGGGGATATCATGCACCTTGTGGGATCTATGAGGTTTCAGTGAGATAATGCATGTCAAGTTCACAGAACAGTGCCGGCTCAGTATGTAATCCATCTGCTCTTCCCTGAGCCAGGCTTCTTCCTGGGCACAAAGTCCACCCATCCTCCGCTGCTGCCCAAGACAGGGAAGTGTTGCAGACTATTGAATCTTGTCTTCACCTGTCCTTTGCTTTCTCTCATAGGAAAAGCGCCTCATTTTCTACGACTCCAAAATGTGGAGGTGAACGTGGGACAGAATGCGACATTCCAGTGCATTGCTGGTGGGAAGTGGTCTCAACATGACAAACTTTGGCTCCAGGTAAGAAGGGGAGAAGTTCCTGCTCCATCATGATGAGGGAGGGGATGTTTTTCAAGCACCCCTGCTCTTTGGAGGGTTCTCTCCATCCATGACCTGGTTAAATCTTAACCACACATCTGTTAGGTCAGCTTTGGTATACCCATTTTAGAGATGGAGGAACTAAGGCTCAAACCTCAAAGTTTCAGAACTAGAATCTTTTATGACTCTCTAACAAACTTTGTCTTTTAAGCCCAGATCAACAGGGTTAAGAAAAATGGATATTTTAGGTTTTGAGTATACCATATCATGAAATCTTAACTAGAAGGTTGTGGGATATCCAGTGATTCACTAATGCACATCCGGGTAAAATCAAATCATTCTTTTCCTAGAGTGTATCCTTAAAAGGAATAACACATCTAATCTCTGGTTAAACGAGCCCATCAGTTAAGTCCAACAGGAAAATGTTTTAAGCTTACATCTGTTTTCCTGTTGTTACTGCTCATTGATACTACTTCCCTAACAAGATGAGAAGGGGTCTTTTGGGGGTGGGGGACACAGACTGGGGCTGCAACAGAACTGGAAAACTAAGAGAGCATTAGCATACTACTGTCAATGTGAACAGGGACACCAAGTTCTGTTAAATGTTCCATCTAACATTTAAAAAATAATTTTTAAACAGCCTTGTTGAGATGTTATCTTACAGTATACAGTTTGATAAGTTTGAGATATATATATATATATATATATATATATATATATATATATATATATATATATGAGAAATTATTTCCACAATCAGGATATTGAACAGAGGCATCACACCCAAAGTTTCCTTGTCCTGATTTTAGTCCTTTCTTTCTGCTGTTCCCACCCCAGTGTGTAATAGGCAATTGCTGGTCTGCTTCTGATACTACGGATGAGTTGACATGCTCTAAAATTTTATATAAATGGTATCATGCTGCACTTTTAGTCACCATGATTATTCTGAGGTTTATCTATGTTGTTGTGGGTATCAGTTCTTTTTTTATTAAGTTAGTTTTTGCTGAAATATATTCAATTGTGTGAATTTATCTATACACCTATTGATGGACACCTGTTGTTTTCTTTCCAGTTTCTGGCTATTACAAAAAAGCTGCAGTGAATATTCACGGGCAGATTTTTGTATGCACGTTGTTCTTTCATTTCTCTCGGGTAAACACCTAGAAGCTGAATGGCCGGGTCATCTTATCGATGTGTATTTAATTTTGTAAAGCATGACAAATTGTTTTCAAAAATGGTTGTGCTATTTCACATCCCCACCAGCAGTCTGTGAAAGTTCTAGTTGCTTTACAACCTCCCTAGGGCTCAGTATGGTTATCTTTTCAGGTTTATCCATTTAAATAGGTGTGTGATGGTACCTCCTTAAGGTTTCAAATGTCATATTCCTGGTAACTTAGTAGTTGGAGCATGTTTTGTTGTGCTTCTTTACCCAGATAACTCTCTACACACTTTGGTGGGAGTTCACACTGTCACTTTTCTTGAATTGAGCCCATTTTCTACAGTTGGAAAGTCCCTGGGCAGAAGAGCCCAGCCAGGGGCTCAGAGATCTTCTTTCTGTTTAGCAGCATAGCAGAATGAAAATAACACTTGTGCCTGCCCATCTCCCTTTCCTGGGCTGCCTGCAGACAGTAAGAGGGCATGCTTCCACACCATCACACCACTCCACTAGTAAGCAGTGTTATTTCCTCTTTTCATTATAATTAGCTGCAAGTGCATCTTGCTCCCAGGAAGCTTTACCATTTCAATGGCATCACCTCAGTTGCATCACAAGCATGAGGTGGGTCAATGCAGTATTTTCAGCAACTTTATTTGGGTTTTCTGACTATTTTATGATCATTCTTATTACAGTTATTACAGTTCTAAGTTGCATGCCCTAGACCTTAGGTCTGTTAGCAGGAGTATGTTCATGCAGAACATAATAGAAGTTTTGAGGAAAAAAGATAAAAACCAGAGTATTCCTACCCAGCTCATCCACATCTGATTTATTTATCTAGTTTACAGTGTAAACCAAATCCTATTTCACAGACGTTTTCTGGGTAGCTTACAATGGGATGTAAAGCACAACAAGATAGCATAAATTAAAAGTGAGGTAGCCCAAGTTAGGAGAAGAATACACAGGAGCTGCTAAAGCTAAAGTTGCATTTCTGCACACCTGCTGCTGCCTGTGAGTCACATGCAGAGCCCATAGCGCCGCAGCCGCCAATGGAATAAAGAAAACTTGTCAGATATACAGTTCACAATGTCTGCGAGATAAACACAAACCAATTGCTCAGGAAAATTCTAACTGTTGTTCACACAGAGGCCAGACAGGAATTGTTCCCAGGAGTCCTCATAAAGAAAACACTGTATGATGTAATGAACAGTATTCCCACCACAGTCTTATTGAGGGCACACAAGTGGGTTTCACAGGCCTGTTTCACATAATGATGTTCTGTATAAAAGCAATCTGGAGAGGTGGAAGGAGAGGGAGGCGTGGGTGGGGAGCGGCTCCAGCAGAGGTCTCCTGCTTTCTGCTAATCTATCTCCATCCTGGGATGCTTAAAGTTTATCTGGTGAGTGAATAGATCCAATAACGATTTCTCTAAGGAAACCTCCCTTAATAGTGTTGCCCTTATCCATATTTCAGGGAGTATTGGGAAGGAGACTGTTTCTCCTACACTCTGGAAAGTGCCTGCATGGCTTGTTAAGGAACAGTGTTGTTGGAAGTAGGTTGTACTGGTCTCAGGGTCCTTCTGAGGAACAGTCAATAGGGGGCGCACACCTGCACACGAACGTGTATACACACACACGCACACATGCACACACATGCATACACATGAAGCTTTGTTATGAGGAACTGGCTGGCATGATCATGGAGGCTGAGAAGTCCCACAGTCTCTCATCTGCAAGGTGGAGACCTGGACAGGTGGGGTAGGAGGTGTAATTTCAGCCCAAGTCCAAAAGTTCAAGAACCAGGAGAGCTGGAAGTGTAAATCACAGTGCTAGAGCAGGAGAAGACCAGTGTGCCTTTTAGAAAAAGGAAAAGAAACGATGTTCATGTACAGAAAGGTGGGACTGTACAGAATTTTCAGTATAGCACAATAAAAAGGTGAATAGGTGCATCTTCTCTGGATGGTAACTGGGCAGTAATTACCAAAAACTCTAAGTGTGGATATTCTTCCAATGAACAGTTTTACTAATGGCAGTTTATGTAAGGACATTGCCAGAAATGGGGACAAAAGTGTACCTGCAAACATGTTCAACAGGACAGAGAATGAATGAAAGAAACTAGATGCTCAGCAAGAGAGACTAATTAGATAAATGCTGGAATGAAGTAATTCAATACTAGATTCTAGACATATACTTAATGATATTTTTGTAGTATGTAATTAAATGAAAAGAGCATTATCAAACTTTATTCAGTGTATCATCTTTTACGAACAACACATATATACACATAGAGATGATATAGATAAGATATATATATATACACACACACACGTGTGTGTATCCACACTTACATACATATGCACACAGAACAATAAAACATGTCAACAATAATGAATTGTGATGGTAGATCGTGTGTGCTTTTTCTTTTCTGTGTTTCTTCTGTTCTTTTCTATGTCATCCAAATACTCTAAAATGAACATAGGGAACTATATAAACAGAAGCAAATGTTGTTAGAAAAGAGAAAAATTGTCCCTTTTTCTTGGACACAGAGTATTCTAAGGGTGGCAGGAAGCTTTGCTGGGATTGGATAACTCGTTCCGACAGAAGCGAGGCCCCCCAGCAAGGACACAGGTCGCTTTCCTTCAGCTCTCTCCATACCCGTCATTGCCGTCAGATACTGTCGTCCAGGAGGGTGTTTGGACTACTCCATGCGTGGCCTCCTGTCTTATTGAAGCCCACGCTGACAGGGCTCTGTCCTGGAACACCTTGGGGACTCTGCAGCTGACCCTCCAGCCCCACAGTGCAGCTGACCTCCAGGCTGCTCTGTGGAGGATTCGCTCCACTGGAGGTTTGTACAACAAATAGCATTTGAAGAGTCTCAGAAATGAGGCCATGTGTCCAAATAATGTGCACGGATCTCAGTAGGAGCAGCATATATGTTGAGACAAATCACAGGCACTGGAGCGGGAGTAGACCCGAATCTGGCAGGAAAAGGCTCCTGCCCCTGGGAGCCCATCGGCTTCAGTCAGTTGCACGGGGCTGATGAGCTAAGGAGGCACATCAGTCCTCTGTCCCCCCTGCAGGGCTGTTGCTGCTCTGGCACGCACAGGGCCTGTGGTGTGGAGCAGCCCTGGCTCCCTCCGTCAGAACCAGACCTCCTTTCTGTTTAGGGTTTGGCACCGCAGCCACGCCACAACAGAACAATGGCGATAAAGCAAAGCAACTGCTCATAACCGCTGACATTTATTGAGTGCTTACATAGAATGCATTTAATCCTCATCAGTGTTTCAGATAGCTGCTGTTACAGCGCATCATGGAGACAACCAGTAGGCTGAGCCTCAGGGGTGAGTGACATCCTTAAAGTCACACAGGGAGTGAGCAGTAGAGGCAGGGCTTCTTATTCTGAAGCCCTGGGCTCACCCCCTCCATGCCTGCCTTGTGGCCTTGCACAAGGTGGCCTTGTCTGTGCAGGTGGCAATGAAAAAAACAAGCGCCCTGACTTAGCATGTACCTGTACGGCTTTCATTTACCAGCCACTGGACTAGGTACTTCAGTATACTTGACTTTCTCAAATCTACAAAGAGGATCAGATACTGTCATCCAGGAGGGATGACAAACCAAAATACCCTTGAAATTTTTGAATCAGATCATCCCTCTAGCTGTCTTCTGACTTCCCCCGTCCCCTTCTTAGCTACGAACATGATGTCTATACTTGCCATGTGGATTTCTTCAACTCCCAAGTCTTCCTAGCAGTGATTGTTATAAATGCCACCAACAGTGCCCTTGTTAAAGTTAAGGGGTGCCTGTTAGTCCTGGACTTCATGAGGGAGTTA